GGCACCGATGTGAACAGTTTATTTCAGTGGTTAGGTATTTGCTTTTCTTCAACATTTTATTGTGGAAATTTTCAAAAAATATAGCCAAGTGGAAAGAATTTACAGAGAACACCCATCAACTCACCACCTAGATCCTGCCATTAAGATTTTACTGGAAGGTCTTTATCACACATAACCTCCTCTGTGGGCTTCAATCCAGCCATCAATTCACCCCACTTTAACACATTTTATACATCTCATTTTGAATGCATTTCAGACACCAGCACCTTTCTCTTTCCACTGAGTCCTTCAGCCTGCAGGTTACCATTAAAAAGAATTTGATGTTTGTCACTAGCTTCTTTTTCTGTGCGTAGAATGTACTGGCTTTCACAGACACATACATACACCTGTGTAACTCGAACTCCTATAAAAATCCTCATCCCCAGAGAGCTCCCAAACCTGGTCTTCCTTAACCACCATCTTTAATATTTCTCCAGGCAACTGCTGTTCTCATTTTTTAATCACCATAGATAAATAAGTTCACCTATTCTAGAAATTCAAAGAAATGGGATCACATTGTATGCACTAAGGATTCTTTCAATTTGTCTAATTCTCTCTTCATCCCTGTGTTTTACTAGTCAGAAGTTCATCATTTTACATGGCTGAAGAGTATTCTAGTCTTTTGAATATTCATTTTACATGACTGAATAGTATGCTATTCTATGAACATATCAGTTTGTTTATCTAATCCTTGTCTGTTTCTGTTGCCCTGAAGCGAAGGGCAACAGAGAGAGGTACATCCATACATTTTAGCAAAAAGACACTCAGAATATCAAGTCCAGGATTTAAGGTCTGTGAGCCATGATAAGGGCCAAATTAAAAAGAGGTGATTTAAGAAAATAGTTCTAATTAGAACACTAGGTAAATAATAGTCAAGTGGGGCCTCCCTATTGGTGCAAGGGGTTAAGTCTCAGAACTATGAAGCTGTCTTCAGCCACTGCAGCACAAGTTTGAAACCTGGCCAGGGAGGTGACCCATATGGCACAGCAGACCTCTCCTGTCTCACCTACTGCTCCCCTCAGCAGTGTATTTCAGTAGATCTGTCTGTTATCTTTGGTGAATCCTCTTACCCCCTGCATCTCTGGCCTGTACCCAAGCTCTTGTATGCATAACTAAATAAATCTTCAAAAAAGGAAACGAAGGAACATGATCTCAGTTTTCACCCCTGGTATGAGGACCAAGCTCTGTGTCACGAAAACACAGGGGAACTGTTATAACGGCAACATAGCACAGTCCCCCCGGAGTCAGCCTTCTGGGTTTACTTTCAACACACCTCCACCACTCACTGTGTGACCTTGGCCAACGACCTTGTTTCTCTGTGATTCAGTTTCCTCATCTATAAAAAGCGGGTGAAAAGAGAAACAACCGCACCTGGAGTAGTTAGGGGTAAACAAGTAAAAATGTAATAGCGTGATCAGTGCTAGTCAAGCGTGAGCTTCCACTGCTGTTGCTGGAGGAGAAGAAACCAGTCCAATGACTGCATGTCAGTGCACTCGATGGAGGACCGAGGCAGGGAGGGGACCCCTCCAGAAGACGGGGAGACCTGTGCTCCAGACACGGCTGTAGCTGGCTGTCAGCCTGGCCTCTGTCTTCCCTGCTTCTGGTGCATCACCTCACTCTTCCTTCGAGACATTGCCCGAGTCTCAGTGAGGCAGACCCTGTTTCTGGGCTCAGTGACCCAGACCCAGTCAGCATGTTGTCCCTCAGTTTCTTTACCCTGGTTGATGGGTGGAGACGAGGGAAGGGGTTTCAGACGAATGATGACCATGGGATTTCTGTGGGCGCTAAAGACAAAGATCAGTTCCTTCTGCTTGAGTAGCCTCAGGAATGACATGGAATGAGGGTGCTCCCCTGGGGGAGCACCACCTTGTGCCCCCTGGGGAGAGCCTCGAACTGAGGCCCATAGACAGAAATGCAGAGGAGGGAGGGGCTCACCCAGTAGGACCTTTCTTGTCTAAACCACTGAATTTGGATTCTGTCCTTCATAACTAAGAATCCTGATGAGTCCATCTTTTATAACCTGGTGCCCTCTTTTTTTTTTTTTGCAAGAGAATTTGCTTGAGTTAGGGGAACTTTGCTGTGTTTACATAAGTGTCATTCGCCAATGAAACTACCGTGGGTGGTTTAATAAATTCCAGGGAGACACTGGCAAAACCAACAGATCAGGAGGTGGCTCTGGAGTGGAATGCCAGCTTATTGTGCCACTGCTGTGGGAACCAGGCATAGACGCATTGGTTGTCAGGACCTTGGTGAGCCAGAGGGAGCTGGCTGGCACTGGGTAGGCGATCTGCTGTACTTCCTTTGTCTTCCTCTCAATCTGCTGCTCTCATTGTTGGCACTGAGTTTTTCAGAACTTCTGCTATGAAGTCTCAGTACGTTTGATCGCCCTCCAATAATTACTCTACCTTCTATCCCTGGTCTAAGACTCATCATACATGATGTCATCACCTGATTTCAGTTGGCGCTGCCATCTGGAGAAGGTGGCATTGTAGCATCTGGGCACATTGGAGATTATTAGCACATCTATATTTAGGAACTGTCTAATCATAGTATCAGTGAGTGTGGCTGCTGGCCCCAAGGCTGGGTAATTGCACTTATTCTTGCTAACAATTTGTGTGCCTCAATAATTACAGATAATGAGGAAGTTTAGGTTCAAAGGATTTCACATGTTATTAAATGATGAATGGTGCTTCATGGGGGTGTCATGGGGTTAAGACAGCTTTTGCAGGCACAGCCACAGGAGAAGAGCCAACAGCTTTCAGCTTTGCCATGTTCCAGAAAATGAAGAGAAGTGGCATGAAGGACTAAGATGGGGCGGGGGGTGGGGGAAGACAAAAGTCACTGAAAGTAACCTGTGGTGTGGTCATTTTTTAAAGACTGTTCTGTCTATGGTCCACATGTACCCTCTTGTGTGTTATTCATTTGCTTATTTTTATGTTCAGTTATTACATTGGCAAAACCAACAGTGTAATAATTGCAGCTCTATTTATGTCACAGGATTGTCAAAGGGCTGGGTATGAAAGAAGACTGCCCCCCAGAACATCTTGTCCAACTGGAAAGACAGACGGTATTCTAGGAAGGGGTGAGGACTATAGAGTTGAGCCTGGGGTGAGGTGTTGGAGTCTGTGGGAATCTGCAGGGGTCAGGACCGACCCAAGGAAGCTGAGATAAGAAGAGTTAGGACAGGAGGAAGTCAGACATGAGACGCTTCTGATCACAATAGGAGACTGTGATGGGGAGCTGGAGCCTCAGAGAAGCTGAGGAGACTATGGAAGAGATTAGAATGGTTTGGACTGTCAGGCAGGTGGCATCTCAGCTGTGTGCTGGGGATGGATGAGCCTTGCCTGGTCAGGTATCAGGGCCTGGAATTTACCTTCAAGTGGGAAGTGCCACAGCACTGACCAGTTTGACAGGACTTTGTGGGTTTCTTATCTCTGTCACTTATTTAGTTTTAGATATACTTGAGATTCTTTTTTCATTGTGGTTTGTAGTTTTCATCACAATAAAAAAAGAAGAGGCAGAGGAATATATGAAGGCAGAAGAATTAACAGGTAGTGAGGGCAGAGAATTGGAAATGAGGAGGTGATTTTCTTTGTTTCATTATACCCTTGTAGAAGTAATTTTTTTCTTCTCTATTTGCATGTCTTGGAACACAGCAAATAAAAGCTGTCAACCCTTTTGTGAAATCATTATCTTCCCCAACTTAGCTTCATTTTTAAGGCTATGACAGTTTATGAGATTTAGGAGTCTATTCTAGAATAACCCAGTACTTATAAGGCAGTAACCACAATTTGAGAACAATGTGGGTAATTAAAGGTCTGAGCTGGGCATGCAGGTGAATTACATTCCAGTTCAGATTGTTCACTCACTGGCTGTACGACTCTGAATATATTATTTAACTTCTCTTGTTCTTTATTCTTTATCCTATATAGTTTCTAAACTTCTGCCCCATTTTGCCCCAAATGCTGGCTGCCTCATGAACTACAGAAGTCTGTTAGTATCCACCGGATTGTCTTTCTGAGTCTTCCTTCTTTTCTGCCAGATCCTACCTCAGGTTTACTGTGCAAAGAGCACAGCAGTTGCAGACGGCAGCCCGGGGCCTCACAGTCCTGTGTCCTCCCATCTACAGACAGGGCTCCCTGCCCGGGCACCCTGGGGGGCATCTGGGCCCCTTCGGGAGCCTGAGTCGGTGCCAGAGCCCCAACTGCAACCACGCTGGATCTCGTCTAGGCCGGGCCTTACTGGTGCCCGAGACCCCAGCAATGCAGGCACCTCCTTGTCCCCCGAGCTTGGGGTGAGCTGGGGAGCAAGTGGACTGAGCTCGTGGCTGCTCCCCTGGGGGGGTTGGTCTTGACCTTCTTGGGCGCTCCCAGGGCCTTGATGGTCTGGGCAGCCGTGGGTGGCCTTGCATTGTCAGCCTGCATCATTTCTCTTCTTGTGCTTCTTGGCAAAGAGTATGTTGTTCGGGAACTTGGGCCCCACCTACTTAAGGGATTCAGGTCTCCTTGTGATGGGGTTTCCTGACCTCACTTCTGTGTTACTTTCAGGCTCTGTTGCGTGTGAGGTGCTTCTTGGACTTGGCTGTGTCTTCCCTGAAGCAGAAGCTCCCTAAACTCCTAGACTGGCAGGGATTTAATCTGTTTTTAGATTAAACACACAGGAGTTGGGAAAGATGAGTGGTCGGGTCAGGGGGTCATGAGGGGGACCCCCAACAACTTCTGCAGCAGTTGCTTTTACTATTACCATGATGGACATTACTGAAGAATAATTTGTAGTTTTACAACTAGAAAAATTGTCCCTTTGTTGTGAAACTTGCTATTTTTTCTTCTACAAAAGGTGATGTTGCCTTAATGTTAAACTGTCTACATGGAACAGACTTAATTTGAAGGAAAATCATGAATTTATTAAATAGTGTTAATAAAAAGGTGTTTGTACCAATTTTCTCTTCTCTTTCCCCACAGACCTAACACATTCCCTTACAAGTTGCTTCCTAAGAAGGTCTGTCTATTGACATCTGAGGTAAGAACACTTTTTTTTTTCCAGCTGAAATCCAGGCAAAAACTTCCAACTTGGTGAATTAATCCTCTGTCTCCTGCTTAAATCTTGCTAAAACTGTCCTAAGAGTACAGTGTTACATTATATGTTCACACACACAAATACACAAATATGCAAACCAAAATAAACACTCTACATTGAAAAATCTATTTTGCCTCAATCATTTGATGTAAACACCTGGGAAACTTTTCTAAAAGCTGCTGGGAAACTTCCAGCATGATCCCGAAGTGTGAATCTATGTATAATAAGCCAATAAGCCTCAGGCATGTTCTGATAGTTTCAAACCACTCTGGCTGGCCCCCACGGCAGAAAAGGGAAGAAGTACTCCTTTTGTTGTTGACAACCCAAGTTTCTTCTCTCATATAGCATTCATGAAGGAATTTGGGGAAATTTTGCATTCAGTGAGACCCACTTATGAATGCTTCTTAAGACGATATTTTAATCATTGCAACAGTTGTAGGAATAGGAAGTGCTTGGCCTTCGGGCAAGGGGCTGGTTGTAAATGTTGGAAGTGATAGCATCAAGGCCTGTGGTGTAGGCACCAGGGGCTGAAGCATCTTTTTGAAGGGTAAAGATTCAGGCAGCAACAATCATGCACATATTTCTAGACCACTGTAGGTAGGACTTCCGGGGGGGGTAAATGCTAGAGAAGCCAAATGTCCCCCTTGCCACGAGACAGGCTTTAGAGCAGCTTTCTGGAGAATGAGAACGGCCCAGCCTGGGTTTGACTGACTTGTAACTGGATCCACCCTAGCTTGAAGAAAAGTGTTCTGGAAATATTTGGAAGTTATGGTTACACTGCTAGACTGCTTTGAAAATGTAGCCATCACCACAGGTGTTGTGTGAGCCATGTAACACAAATGACTTGTGAACTTGTGGACATGGGTGATGAAGGGTCATGGGGATATAAAGTTCTGTTTGGGTCAGTCGTGTTTGACGCTACTAGCTACCACTTCCTGAGGACTAAGTATGGTTGGGCGTTGTCTAACAACTGCATCATATTTTATGTGTGAGGAAGAGAGTGCACAGATACAGAAACTGAGGCAGAGTGAGATAAAGTAACTCGTTACACAGCTAGTTAACAACAGGGTGAGAATTAAACCCATTGTGACTGAAGAGCATGTGCGTTTCACTGCTTTGCTACTAGTCTCCACCGGTATGATCACGACCAGCAAGAACTTGTAGGCTTAGGCTGCGTAAGTGAGTCTGCAACAAGACAACATCCCTGCAAAAAGCCCAGGTGAGCCCACTGGATTATTTTCTGATAATCTGGTCAATTCTGTTGTACAGCCCATGTTGTTTGAAAAAGGCAGTTTGTTGATTGGTGATTTTGGACTTCAATGACTGGCTTTGCTCAGCAGTCCTAAATCCTCCACTTGAATTTCTACTAACTGAAAAGAATCCAGGTGAAGTGATGCAGGTGAAGACCCCTGCCCAGCTCAGGTCTGGGGCTGGGGCTGTTTCCTTTGCCAGAGTGGATTTAGAGGGTTTGGAGAGGAGGGTGGAACTTCGGTTGGGGGGAAACAAGCTGAGGTTGACGACCAGATCACGCGGAAGTGAGGAAAGCAAGAGTGGCTGAAGGTGAGCGAGTTGTGCACAATCACACACCACAGCTCAGACAGGTTTAGTGGGCACCTTGGAAATTCCTAGAGCAGAGCTCGCCCACAGGGTTCTCTGGGAGGGGAAGAGCAAGCTCTTGGGCAGCACTTGAAAAGTAACAGTGAGGTTACTTAGGGCTCTGGTGACAAGGTATCTACTGACAGAGGAAAATCAATAGGAAAAAGACTTTGGGGGAGTCTTCTGCGCTATTCAGACCCTTCCTCACCACCCCCTCTCGCCCCACGGGAAGAATACATTTGTCTCTAGTTGACTCTTTGGTACTGACAATGAGGTGGCTGAGACTGGCTGGGAGGTGATAATGACAAATTGGCAACCAAAAGGAGAATAAAGCAGATTTATGACTTGAAAGCCTAACCCACATCCCGGCAGAAAAACAAGGGACGATCCATTGCCAAGTGTCAAGGATCTCAGGGGAAATTAGGTTAATTTCTTCTTCAGATATCCAGGTCTTTAGAATTTATCATATACTGTAACCTTGCCTTTGACAGTACTGGAATGGTTTGCTCGTGATTGATTTAAATTCACCAAAAGTGTCCTCTCTCTAGAAGTTCATTTAAAACATTATAGCGAAAAGGACTGAATGTTACTGTCTCCTGTGTCTATGCATATAAATATTTACTGACTGAACAAATACATGAATATTTGCTCTAACCAGGACATAATGCCTCTGGTGAATCCTTTTCTAGATTTATGTGGAATAAAAACATTTAAGCTATGATCAAAGCACTTCTAAATTTCTTAACTAAAGTTCCATTAGTTCTCAGTTAATTAAATACTTTTTGGCCTGTTTGTACACTTAAAAGCCTTAAGTAGCTTTTTGTTCATCGTGAAAGAACATGCCAGACAAGGCTTTTAGTGATCTAATATTCTGTACAATTAAACTTCTGCTTTTCTATTCAGTTCACCTTGTTAGATGGGGATAAAACTGTCTTGTAACAACTTAATGGGGATATTGCAAAACTAGTGAGGAAATGCCCAAAGTGCTTTGATAATCTTGCTTGTCTGTGACTTGTGATTATATTAATTAAAATGTCTTTTACAAGCAGCACCTAAATGAGATTTTAGCCTTTGAAATCAGTTGATTTTCAACCTGACCTTTTAAAATTCAGGTTAATGTAAACTATTTTAGAATAGAGAAAATAGGCAATTTCCCCCTTCTAGCTCCTTAGGAAATGGCTAATTCTGGGTGCAGGTCAGAAAAACCCCCAGTGACCTGGAAATATCCCATTGAACCTATGAGAGACTTAGGAGAACTCATCAAAGGGATACCATGGTCATTTGGGGGGCTCTCAAAGCCCAAAAATGGACTAACTGTAGTAATAAGGCCAAAAGTTAGCTGAAATACTGAGTATGGGAAAATCTACAGGGGTCCTCCTTGGTAGTGCAGTGGGTTAAGCACAGCAACTGCACAGCTAGCTGCAACCGCTTTAGCACGAGTTTGATCCCTGCCCCAGAGGTGAACCACCAGGCACAGCAGACCTCTCCTGTCTCTCCCACTGCTCCCCTTAAGCAGCAAAAGGTGTTTTTTGGTAGGGGGGGGTGTTCTTTGAGGAATTATTGTGGAAATTATCACTTTGGGGTCTGACTGTGTTCCCCTTCAAAGTTGGATAATACTCTCTGCCTCCATCTCTGGCTGATACTCTTTTTTCTAATCCTACCTTACATTTCTGGAATCTTCTACAGTGGTCTACTTAGGATTTATTAATCTTCTCCATCTTTGGTGTCTGTCCTAATGAATTGTTCTACTCTTAAATTTCCCTCACTTTCACCCACATTCAAACAGGGGTCAAAAGTGGGCCCTCCCTGGTGGCGCAGCGGGTTAAAGCACAGCACTGAGAATCTGAAGCCACTTCCGTATGAGTTCGATTCCCGCCTGCCGCCTGCCCCGGAGGAGACCACATGGCGAGCCAGACCTCTCCTGACCCGCCCGCTGCTCCCCTCAGCAGTGTACTTCGTCGATCTGCCTGTTCTGCTCCCCACTCTGTCTCTGGTGAAGCCTCTCACCGCCCCTGAGCCTCTGGCCTGTACCCCAGTTCTGTATGAATAAATAAATAAAACCTTAAAAAAAAAAAAAAAAAAAAAAGTGGAGTGCCAAGGTCAAAGCACAGAGTGGCAGGCAAAGGAACCCAAGACAACTTCCTAACAGGAAAGACAAGAAAGAGTCCAGTGGGCTGTTAGAGGAAAGAGAGAAACAAAGTTCAAAAAAGTACCGATCGCCCGAGCTGAATCCAACCGACGTCAAGATGGCGGTCACCAACTCTTTCAGGAGTTCTGGGCTATGCAGCCTGCTCTGAAGCAGAAAAAAAAAGAGGAGCCAGCTGAAGGAGCCCCGCATGGGCCCAGAGCCGAAGTGGATCCCCTCCCTGTCCTGGCCTAGCCCAAAAGAAAGAAAAAACGGGAGGCCCCACAGAAAATGAAGGTACCCACTGAACAAGGAAGGCTGTCTTTAAATTCTACCCTGAGGTCCCGCCCTGCCCTTCCTCTCCCTCCCCCTCCAGCTGTTGGCATTTGAGAAGGGTGTGGAGCCTTGGATCTCTAGTAATTCCCTCAGCTGTCTCCCTTCAGGAACTCAGGGGGTGGAGTGGAGAGACTTGTGGGCTCTCACCTCCTAAATTAGACGAGGTTTCCATATTCCCATAGTCAAGCAAATTCCTTCACCTAAAATTCCACATTGCAGTTGGTGTAGTTTGAATGAGTGAATGAGCAAATATGCTTCCTCAGCCCAGGTATGGCTTCTGACAACTCTTACAGGTTTCTTCGCTCAGTCTTAGCAGACATATGCAAATTTAAGGTTCATTTGTGAGTTTAGAGTTAAGTGGAGTAGGTAGGTGGGTCTACAATCAGATGCTTCTAGCCACTAAAAATGCTTCATGCACTGAGTGCAGATTTAATTTGCTTAGAATTTTATATGTCAATTCCAGGGTGTATTCTGAATATGGTTATCACTTGCGACTTGCTATACTTAGGTATGGAGTCGAATTTCTTTTACCAGAAAAACCTTATAACATAACAAGTCACACGTGTTCTTGATAGACTTGTCTGTCAGAACTAGGTTAAAGGTTTTCCTATTTTAAATTCAGATGTTGTGTTACAGTAACAGCCCCTTCAGTTTCAGGCTGTGATATACCAAAATCCTGATAGATATTTAAGCTATCACATGTAATAGTGATTCATGTCTGTCTCCTTAAGAATTCTTTTTTGCAACATTCATGCCAGAAGTGGGCATATCATATAGTGAGAAAAAAAAGATCTCTCAGGAGGGCCCGCCCTGGTGGCACAGCAGGTTAAAGCACTGCACTAAGAAGCTAAAGCCACTTCAGCATGAGTTCAATCCCTGCCCCAGAGGTGACCCACATA